ACCGCCGTCTCCCCTGTCAGCGGCCAGCTCAGGACCCCCGCCTCCTGCACCGGCACCAGCACAGGTCCCCGTCCACCGGCATCCGAGCAGGGCCTCGGACCAGGAGAGCTGCGCTGCGAGAGATGCACCTTCGCTCTGTCAGCACTTCTTACCCAACGACCCCACCAAGTGGAATGTGGAAGAAGTTTACGAGTTCATTCGTTCACTGCCAGGTCAGTAAACAGTGTAAACACAGGAATCAGACTCCTAAAGCATCACATACTCCCTGTGCTGCTCATGAATCCTGTTTTAAAGATATAATATCTTAACTTTTCCGCTTTTAATCAAGGAGATGGTCCACGTCATGTGGCTGCCATTGCCTGTCAGTGGCATCATATCCCAGGGTTAAGGATGTCTGCCAGGAGCTGTGATAAAATGACTTTTTATTTGGCTTAAGCCACATTTTTATGATACACTTTTTAGATCTTGGGCATTTTTAAGAATGTGTTTTTACTGGTAGTTATCAGACATCTGGAAACTTTTGAAATTGGTACAACATTACCAGATTAAAACAGAGAAAAAAGGGCTGTGGCATTCACTTTTTCTCAAGAGGTAGGGTAGAAAACCTACAACTACCAGAGTCGCCGCACTGAACCAATAAAAACTCCTGCTGGCAGGTGACATAATGTGAACTTGTCCGTTTGGCACAATGGCAGCCGGCTGGCAACAAACAATCTTGTAAAACAGTTAAATGATAAGCTAATACATGTTTCTGAAAACATTAGAGGGGAGCAATAGGCAACTCAGTAACAGAATCTTGGTTCATATTTGATCAGTGCTGCGTAGTTTAACAGTTTGATCTCAGTTTTTTCAGGCTCTGTTTTCACAGCTTCACAAACACTCTCTATCACAGCTAAACAGGGCACTAAAATATGTTTCTAGAGACCATTTTAGGTGAGAAATAAGCATTGCAGTGTCAAAATCTTGGTTTATATTTGAGCAGCAGAAGTGGAAATTGCACAAGTACAGCCATGTAGTTTAAACAACAGTCTGAAAGCCAGTCGAAGTCCAAAAAAGTTTCACTGGGAGGGGAGCAGGGAGACCTAGACACTGGTTAGATGGAGAGAAGTTTTCCACAGTTCATTTTCACATACCACTCCCATCGTTTTGATACAAAGCTGTTTAAAATCTGCGACGTTTCCTTTTTAAGTGACTAACTGAAGCTTGTACTTCTTCCAGGTTGTCAAGAGATAGCTGATGAGTTTCGCTCTCAGGAGATTGATGGACAGGCCTTGCTCCTGTTAAAGGAGGACCACCTCATGAGCACCATGAACATTAAACTGGGACCTGCACTCAAGATCTTCGCACGCATCAACATGCTCAAAGACTCTTAGCAGTAAAGAGTGTGTGTGTGTGTGTGTGTGTGTGTGTGTTCTGTGCATTGATCTAAGTGCGTCTATTTTTGTGTGTTTGTAAGCGTGTGAGAGAAGAGTGTGAAACTTTGGCAAATATGTCATCGTAGCACTGACGACACAGACTGACTGCACTATGACCTCGCCTCCTCCCCACTACTGGACCGGTTCCTTTGAGTCTCACTTGGACTCATACTCACCTGCAGCTGGAGCACTGGAAGCTGTTAGTCTGTGTTTACGTGCACTCAGAGGGTTAAAATCAGGAGCCACAGTGAGATCTGTGCCATATTCCAAAATGTTGATTCTCACAATAAATGATTGGATTTACACCAGGTGTTAACGTGCAGGCTGTGTCTGGATATCTGATATGAATAAGAAAGAACGCATGTTAAAGTCAGGTGTAAATGCATGTAGAAGTTTGCATTTTGACTGCTGTTGGATCCTCTAGATTAAAATGTGGTCTGGCTCACATTATGATCAGATCTCAGACAGGTGTAAATGCCGTCCATGCTGCATTTTTGGGCTTTTTGTGTTTTGTATTAGTGAGTTGATGTGGGGGACAACATGCAACAAAGGACACTGCGGTTAATGGAGGCCCCTTATGCCTGGTACACACTGGATGTAGAAGTGCCGCTAAGTGCTACCCTCTTCCCTTCAGCGACCATGTTAACCAGTTGAAAGCTAGCTCACAATCTGCAGCAAAAGTTTTGGCATCTGGTCTGTTTTTTCCGTGGGTGAACCTGGCAAGAAAACACGCTAGTGATTTATTATAAAAGATATATAGGAGATATTACATACAATATATCTCTGATCATGATAAATGATGAAATATGCGTTCACTGCTCCCACGTATTATTTGTTAGTTGTGTCTAAACAAAGAGCGAGAGAGACAAGCGGACACACAAAAGCAAACAGAGACACTTCTCCATGTGATTAGAACAAAGCAGAGGAGATGAATCACTTGCTGGCCGAAGCAAAGAAATACGCATGTGGTGCAAACGGCCAAGCAACTGCTGAGGGGCCTAACAGTTGACATGTCATACTGCTTCTGCGTCCAGTGTGAACATGGCATTAGGGTCCTGACACACCTGGCTGACTGATGGCTGTCAGTGAGAATCTGTCGCCCTAATTTTTGCAGTGTGCGCTGTTAGTACTTCTTTGCTCTTGTTGGGGGCTTTTTGCCAAACGAAATCCCTCTGATTGGCAGTTCGGCTCGGTGCAGAAGAGAAACGGAAGTGAGGAAAGTAAACAACTAAAGTCAAAAGGGTATGAGATGGAAACAAACTTCTATCAGGCAAGATTATTTATTTTAGCCACTGTGCTATTTAGCAGAAATGGTTTGTAATTGCTTGTGTCATTGTTAGCTAGGGCACGGTTAATATCATTTGTTCTTTCACCATGAGGTTAATGTGCCAACTGGCTAACTAGCATCTCAAATCTGTCTTGTTGGTCTTGCGGTTTCTCTCTCTACTGCGTCCAGCTGCTATGGGGAGTTGTTTCCTCTCATGCAGACGCAGAACATACGTGCTAGTTGGCTGTTTGAGTTGTGTTCAAGTGCAACTTTTTGGCCAAGATACAGGCGACATGAGGCAACGCACGAGTCAGCATTTGTCGCCACTAGTTTGGTTTGGTGTGTCTGGGCTTTTAAAACCCCTAAGCCCACAGCATTGCTTTCTTTGACCTGAGACGTGCCGTGCTGTGCTCCTGTTTTGCATATTAAGATCTGATCATAATGAGGGCAGAACTGTGATAACAAGACCGCTTATTAATTCCAGGTGTAGAGGCAAAGGTCTTAATTACATATTATCCAGACAGCATATCCAGATACAGAGTCCTTGATAACAGCAGGTGTAAATGTTGTCTCAAATTTGGCCCACAAAAAAACACAGGGGAAGTTTAAAGGAAAATGGAGACGTGAATAAGAGAAGTTGAAAAAACAAGTTTTAGTGCCAAAGTGCACCGTCTGCCCAGTTGTGTCTGGGCTGGGTCATACTGCAACACAGTGCTGACTGAAATACGACATTGAGACAAACGTGACTGAAATCTGAGTTTATAATTATTATTATTATTATTATTATTATTAATATTATTATTATCATAAGAGATGTTTTTGTACAGTTGTTAGTGTGTGAAGAAGGAGAGCCACGTCTCTCCGTATGTGTGGCTGGGAACAGAAGATTGCATTCATTAATTTTCTCATTTTTATTCAGCAGATGCTCCTTTGCCTTTTCTCACAATAAGACTCTCACAGCTCTCGAATACAAAGCTCGAATGCGGAGAAAACGTTTAAGCGGTTTCTTTTGTGACATTGATTTCCCTTTCATGAGGAACTCGCCAGTTTTTCTCCTGTAGATTTAAACTGCTTACAAATGATTTTTTTCGCCGCTTTTTTTCAAAATGATTTACTAAAATATGACATTGATTTCTTGTCTGGGCTTCATAGGAGGACACTAAGTTATCTAAGGAACAGTCGGGGCGTGCTGCTCTCTTCACACAGCCCGGCTTTTGGCACTTATTTTCCTTTTCGTTTGCTTTGGTGTTATGAGAAACTCCGACAAAATTGAGAGCAGCTTGTGCAGCAGTGCAAACAAGTTTATATGTACATAGCCGCTTCAGAGGAGAAAGACTGAAACTAAGTATGAAGCTGTCTTTTCTTTTTTAAGTTATCCTTGTTATTTCAAAACAGAAATTTAATGGTGTTTAATATTTTGAAATATGCAAATGTATAAAACTTCATGGCCTGGGAGTTGTTTTTTAACTTTTTTTTTTCTAATGAAATATGATCAAATCTATTTGTGTTTTTTGTGGCTGTGATGAAAGGTCAACTTTTTTAGATAAGGCTTTGTCAAATGCTTGTATTTATCGAAACAGTTTGTTACACAACATTTTGCAATTATAAATAATTTGCAATTCACTTCTGTCTTGGGCTGTTTTTGTGTCTCTGTGTGAAAGAAAAAGTCAATTTTAATTTCTGTCTCAGCGCATTCTCAAAGGTATTACAAGTCACAGGTTTGTGAGAAAACAATCATCCAAAAACCAAAAAGCAGAGCAGCAAATTGTCAGATTTGTGGATAATGAGAAAACATGCTTTTATTTCATGTTGGTCAAATAATTTACAGGCAGTGTCAGCACTATTAAGTACCACACAAGGTGAGATAATCTATAAATCCCATGTTTGAAAAGCAGCACAGCTGCAAAAAAAGTATAAAAACCATCACTAATAATGATTTTTGATCATTTGCAACAAACTTTACTACAAGAAAATTAACATTACAGTAAGCCAAAATTATGGAAATAACATGTACAAATGTATGTATTAAATTATGAATAAAACCTTAAATACAAATCTGACAGTTTCTTAAGAGGGAAGGTCTTCAAGGGACTTTTATTTTGATATTTTAGGGGCATAATTGTAAGTGTAAAACTAATGCACAGTATAGGTAAGAGGAACACACAGGTACACTATATTAAATATATTATTGAAGAATACATCTGTATTGTTTGTGTTCCCTGCTCATCCTCTGCAGTTTCAATCCCTTCTAGAGTTTCCTGGTTTATAGGAAACGGGACATTTCCAGCTGTTCACACATGACTGTCTCATACAATGGACCATTTTATCCAAACACACCGGCCGCTTTCCATTTTGTTTCCCCTCACTAACAATAGAGGCACAACAAGAAGGAGCAGGTACCATAGGTTTCCTTTCAAACGCTGTGACACGCTGCTGCAGAAACACGCACACACTACAGACACGCCCACTTGTTTTGATTTGAGAACGGACCAAACCAAAAGAAGCCACTGTACTTAATGCGACAGTGAATAAAAGTCAACCATTTAATATATTTACATATACATTTTGTATCACGATTTAATCTTACATGAAGGTTTAGATGACGTGTTAAAACCAAAACAAAGTATGTAATTTTCAAACTCCCCCCATACATCGTTCAGAATGGTTTAGCCCAGGTTCAAACTTGACCGTTGATGATTCAGCTGTGAGACTTTTAAAAGGCACAGAGAGACAAACGGTTAATGTCAACGTTACTTTATCGGTAACGTTTCACTTAGTGAAACTATAGTGTTAATTTTTTAAGTCTTTATTAATTCAACAAAATACCAACGACAGGTAAGTTTATTAAAATGTTTTATTGTCGCTATAGTGCAATTTTGTCGCTCCTTGTATTTTTTTTTTTGCTCTACTGTGACATTTTAACAACGTTAATGTTAGACGGTTTTAGCTAAAGTCAATTTAAGTAACGTTAACGTTTACTGTCATGAGCTTTGTTTATTTCAGTTCATTTATTTAACTTAAGTTATGTTACTGTGCTTAACGTACGACTTTGAGATACCGTTACTCGTAAGTTACCTGAGTATTTCCATTTCTTGCTACTTCAGCTAACGTTAGTGTTGAAACAAACGTTACTAATGTTACACCGGTTACAGATATTGTAACGTCACTTGTAACGTAACTAGTTCCATTTATTTGATAACTGTAGTAATTTACTTGGTATAGAGTCAGATTTTGATCGTAACGTTAATTTAAGTGGTAGTAGTACAGTAACTGCATTAAATTAACCAAGGTAATGTTACTGTACTTAACGTACGATTTTGAGGTAACGTTACTCGAGTACTTCCATTTCTGCAAGCATAAAAAAGTTACTAATGCAGCAGTAGTTACACTTGAGTGGCAACTATTATAACGTTACTTTTTATACTATTTATATTTATTTTATGAATTATAGGTTCAAATTAATTATTCATAAAATATAATCATAGATAAATTGTGATATTATTTAGCTTCAGGTTGGAGGTTCACAAGTTCCTACCAGCAGTAGCCTATAGTAATTAAAATAAGCCCCACCTGTACACATGATTACACCTATAATTAACTATAATTCAATACTATAATGTACATTTTTTTCTCAAATTGGCCATTTTGCGTAAGGACTACTTCCTCTTTTGGTACTATTTACAGTTTCATTTAATTTTTTCTATGCATTACTTTTACTTGTACCAGTTTTCTACACTGTGGTCTTTATTTTTCTGAAGTAAAATATCTTTGTACTTGATCCATAAGTTTTTTTCTGATATTGTATCATACTGCTATGAACATTTATTATATTATAATATTTAAGGGTTGCATCTAATAGTTCTTTTAATTGCTGATTAGTCTGTGAATTATTTTCTCGATTAATTCATTAGAGATGCATGATGTTGTATTTTTTATCAATATCCAATATGCCAATATGTAAGAACTCGTTTGACTGACAACCGATACTGATATCAATATATCCATTTTTTTACCTACCTAATTTTAGTGGTCATCGTGTCTCTTCTGAAGTGGAATTAACATCATATTACGCATGCATACTCTTATCATGATTGCCCACCAGCAGGTGGAGACATGAAATAGATTGCTTTTTAATGTATGTAATATTTATTCATCGCGCAAAATAAGAAAAACATATTGGCCGATTCTAGTAGTTCATTTTAAAGCCAATATTGGCCGATACAGATGATGTGCTGATATTATAGTGCATCTCTAAAATTGATTCATCTATAAATTGGCAGATAAATAAAAGTTTAGAAAATGTGTTATAATGTCCCACAGCCCAAAAAGATGAATATATAGGCTAGCTATTTGACCACCAGCCCAAAACTCAAATATATTCATTTTATTATTATATATGTCAAGGAAGAGCAGAAAATCTTCACATGTGAGGAGCTGGAACTATCAAACGTTTGGCATTTTCATTGGGAAAATAACTACAATGATTAATAGATTGTTATAAAAGCAGCAAATTAATTTTCTGTTGGCTGAGTAATAGAGTAATTTACCTATAATTGTATCTCTTAATAGTTTTTGTAAACATTGTGACTGATTTCACCAAGCTCTGTTGAGTTTATTATTCACCGAGTAATTTAAATGTCTAGACTGTTGCTGAAATGCCAAATCAAAGAGACGAGGCCGCCGATGATTTCCCCGCTGACCTTCCCTGTCTGGAAAAACTTGACTCTCCCACAGGTATGGAGCTTTATTATGGCAGTTATTGTTTTCAGGCACGTTCAGGGACCATTAGTAATTGAATTATTACCACCGTGGCAGTTTTAATTATCTGAGGGTGTGTGTGTCCTGTCTGTGGTGTCAGGGAGCCCACCCACCGCCTCATTATCCAGTCTGATGGAGCTGGAAAATTGTGTTTCCAACCTGAACCTCGCACATGAGATAGTGCTGAACAGAGACTTCTGCTTCAAACCCAGGAGCCCTCCTACAGACAGGCAAGAAAAACACTCCGGCGCAGCTACAGTGACCTTGGCTATTCTTATTTCTTACTTTAATTGCGAGTTTAGTCTCTTTTGAGCTGCTTTGTTAAACCGTTTTTCCTTCTGTAGCCTGGAGGGCAGGGTGACGGAGATTGTTCACCGAGCATTTTGGGACAGTCTTCAAGAGCAGCTGAGCAGTGATCCTCCAAACTACAGCCATGCTGTCACTCTGCTCCAGGAAGTTAAGACTGTAAGTGTATATGGCATCAAATCAGAGGCATTAGCAGCAGAGGAAGAGGGTCTACTGAGACCTCCGACCCCATTCATTCTCATAAGTTTTGAAGATCAACCGTGTCTGACAGTATGGGCAGATGACACATGAACACGTGGCCGATCTCACAGGCTTATCAGAGCTGTCTGCTGTTTATAGGAAAAAATAAATATAGTAGGTAATGTTGAAGTCTAGATGTTGAACTACATACTATTTTCATCACCAATTGATCTATTTACACTGCATTTGTAGAGCAGCCAATAGGATCACCCTCTCTATGAAATGACCTGTGATTCAACAAAATCTCCCATCACAGGCCCAATTTCTAACACCTGAAAACAGAGCCAAGAGGAGGTGCAGAAGTCCAGTGTTCACTTAGATAATTTGAATGACAATATGCTGAACAATTACTATGGAATTTCTGCCCAGTGACGCCCAAAGAAAACTGCCTACCTCAGCCTTATTGGGTATTGAGTGTGAACTTAACTGAAGTCCACCTCATATTTCTTTTTAGATGCTTCAGTCCCTGCTGCTGCCTGGTCACGTCAGACTGAGAGCTCAGCTGGACGAGGTGCTGGACATGGAGCTGATCCAGCAGGAGGTCGATCATGGAGCTCTGGATCTCCACAGACTGGCAGGATACATCATCAACACCATGGCATCTTTGTGTGCACCTGTGCGAGACCCAGCAGTCAGGGCACTGAGGGACCTCGAGGACCCTGTGGAGCTCTTGAGGTGAGGGTGCCTCCTGTATTTGACCCATTTTACACCGGGCTGGAGTTTGTGCTTTGTGAAACAAGTTTAATTGTTGCATGTTTGGGATTTTTTTTGGTAAAGCATCACAAAAGATGTTTCACTCAAAATTAATTCTCCTGCCCTTCCCTCAGGGAGATCTTCCGTGTCCTGGGCCTGATGAAGACCGACATGGTTAACTTCACCATCCAGAGCCTGAGGCCTCACCTCATGCAGCAGGCTGTGCAGTACGAGAGGGCCAAGTTTCAGCAGATCCTGGACAAGCAGCCAGGTGAGGAAGAGTGTCTGATCTGACTGCTACAGTGTGATTGAGACCATAAAGGTGACTTTTTCCACTATGAAATTTATGGTCATTGGTTATATCATTGTTCAATTAAATAGACTTTGACCTTGGTCGCTCCAAAGCATTATCCTGCCATTTTTAGTTTCTCTAAGAGCAGGTGAGAATACTCTTGTCTATGTAGAGCTGACTAATCCGAGATTTTCATTTCAATTCAATTTCATTTAAAAAGCCCAATATCACAATTTGCCTCAGAGGGCTTTTTGAATTACAATCACATACTACTGCCGTCTGTTGGCGTGGAGAATTATTTCCTCTCACGCAGGCACAGAACGTATATGCTGTC